AGTATACAGTACAGTACGAAAACTCAAATTTTGTTTCAATATGAGTGCATGATAACCAACAAATATAACCACTTTAACCACATTATAACAAAAACTCAATATATTTTTTTATTTTTAACGCAGAAAGGAGTACTGCACGAAAGTATTTGAGCCACCCCGGGTATTCGCTCGGCCAGAGTTATTTTTTGGACATCTAGATAAAATTTAATTGTTAAATCTGTCAGCGATTTCCATTTATTTTTCATTTTACATTGCCTTGTATTTTCGGTGACGATACATATATTTTTACATTTAAAATTTGAGTTTCGGATATAAAGTGGTTATATTACTGTACTGTATACTTTACACTTTATTACGTAATATTATTATATAATATTACTAATACATGTATATAATATTACTTATTTGCTTAATAAATTTCTTCTTTATAGTTTTTTATAGTTAATAAAGAAAAAAGAAACACTCGAAAGTACAAACACAGAAAACGCTGTGAAACGCTGAAAAATCTTTCACTTTTGGTTTGGAAGGTGTGGCAAGGCTGGTTTTCCTCGTAAATATAAACACTCTAAACTTGTCAGCCATAAATTTGATAAGTAATTTTTAAATGACTAAATTTAGCAGAAAAATTACAAAATAAATGTGAAATGTGAGCTTATTTCAAAGCTTAGAGTGTATATTTAAATATACATAAAAAAAACTTGAAAAATATTAGTGAAACATAGTGAAATAACATGTGTTCGCTGTGCAAATTTTTGAAATTTTAAACGTGAATATTTTAAAAAATATTAGTAATTTTTATCTAATTTTTGGATATTCCTACTCTGGAGAGGCTCCCCTATCCGTACATACCCCATTTCTATGGAAATTCGGTTTTTTTGCCCCTCCGCCAAAGTAATCGCAATCGTGCCTTATTTTTGAATATTCCTCCTCTGGAGAAGCTCCCCTATTCGCACATTCCCCACTTATACGGAAATTCGATTCTTTTACCCCTCCGCCAAAGTAATCGGAATCGTGCCGAAATAAGCTCACATTTCACATTTATTTTGTAATTTTTCGGCTAAATTTAGTAGTTTAAAAATCACTTATCAAATTTATGGCTGATAAGTTTAAAGTGTTTATATTTACGAGGAAAACCAGCTTCGCCACACCTTAAAAACCAAAAGTGAAGGATTTTTCAGCGTTTCACAGCGTTTTCTTTCTTTGTACTTTCGAGTGATTCTTTCTTCTTTATGAACTAAAAACAAACGATTAAGATTTTTCAAGCTTCAACGAATATGTGTATGCTTTTCCATATACATATGTGAATATATGAATAATATGTGATTTATATTTAATAAATACAGATAATTAAACTCGTGTGATAATATTATAATATTCATATGATTGTAATATAACATTTTCATTTACATATTACAATTTTTAATCAACCCTGGCCGAGCAAATACCCGGGGTGACTGGAGTACTTTCGCGTAGTACTCCTTTCTGCGTTAAAAATAAAAAAATATATTGAGTTTTCGTACTGTACTTGTATACTTTACACTTTATTAAATTATACATATGTATATATGTACAAATATATAGT